CATTCAAATCCTAACACTGTATTACTGAAGTTAAAAAGGTTTCATTGACTGCAACATAGATTTCCAATTTAGGAAAGAGAATATCCAAAATATAAGATTTCTAAGGATTAAAAGAAAACTTGTGCAATTGTGACACTACCAAAGTTAATGACAAAACTCTTAACATCAGTTCTGCAGTCAGGTGGTTAAATGTCAAAGCCCTCTTTAGATATTACCATATTTTTGACTAAATGCATGATGGAAAATAATAACTGTATTCAGGCTGTGCGTTCAGGCTGTGCATTTGTTGTAGGTTTGTAATTTTCACTTTGTGAACTGTCTAATAGTTGATTTGGATCCTGGAGAACCTTCCGCTGTCCCACAACCGATCGGTAGATGTGCACTGTTGTGTAACTGGGTTGGATGGGTGATCGCTCTGATTTTTGTGATTAATTCTTATCTTCTGTTTCCAATTAGCTCTTGAACTGGCTTTCTTACTGATACTGCCATGTGATGTCTGCCTTCATTCCCCTAAAACGGCAGTCTGGCAAACTTTTTCTGGTAACCCATGGAGCAGAGGACTGTCACCAGCTTTGGGCTGGGCTGGGTTTCCCCTGGGTTAGAGTTGGCTGGAGCTCAGCAAGCTCCAGGTGAGCCGCCAGGAACATGAGGTTGTGACTACAGACAGAGAGGGAAAACTGGGAAGTTTGTATGGACTAGGCCTATCAGCTTAGAGGACTGAGAGACAAAGGAAAGCCTCTTTTCTGTACTCTGAATTAGCGTGGGTATTGGGACTTGTCTGGCTGCTTGGTGGCAACTTCGGGCATCTGGAGAAACAGTTTTTTAACTGCCCAGAGCTCCACTAGCATGGCTGCGTTCAAGTGCCCAAGGGGCTGACGGGGTGTCCATCGGTTGGGCACACTGAGATGGGGGTCTTTACTTTTTACGTGCCTCCTGCTTCGGGTGTATCTGTCCCTTTGTCAGTCTGGTTTTGAGGATTAATCAAGAGAATCTTAGTTTAGCTTGGCAAAAGAGTTACGTAAGCATCATTAATCTTGCATAATAACTACAGTAGTTAAGACTTTAAAGCCCAGCTTCCTACTTTCTCTAGAACTAGTTCCTGTTTTGAAATGTGATGATGTATTTCAGGAACTGCTAATTAGCAGCGTCCCTTGAAAATTCACACGGGCTTATTCTAAGAACTTTTCCCTTCGTACTCAAGTGTGGGTTCTTTAAATTATTATTTCCATAAATCATGTCAGCGTTCCTACATAACTCTGCTCGATTTTATCCTAAAATAATCCGCAGCTTATTTTTAGACACTAGGATTAGCGATCTTACTCTTCCGTAGTTAGAGATATGCGAATAGATGGATGCAACATGGTACAGCAGGGGGTTACAATATAGACTTTGAATTCTTGCATTGTGTGTTGGACCTGCAGCCATGCCCAGGGGCGGCAGTCAGAATCAGGGCACAAGCTTGTGGAAGGATGCACAGAGCCTCTCTTCTGAACAGCTTTACATCTAATGTAAGGCAAAGCTCGTCAAGTCATTTCGATTAACAGAAGGGGCGAAGGAAGAGAGGAATAAAGAGTGCAGTTGACTGCATACTTCAGCTAGGCACTCAGCTGGGGTTTGCTGAAGCATGTAATGTCTCTTTTTTTTTTTTTTTTTTAATATTTTATCTTTTTTGCGCCTAACCAAGCAGTTGTTATTTGAATGATTTGTGTGTGTGTTGTAGCTGAAGTTTGTCCTGTGGAAAAGAGGAAAGTAGCCGACTGCCCAAATTAGTTGAGGGCAGGCATTTCATGAGTCAAGGGGACAGGTTGCAATATCAGTAACATTTAGACAACTTCTTATCACATTGATTGCCAACAAAAATGTATGTAGCACAAAGGAAATAACCAGCAATTGTTTTGGTTTTCTTTTCTTTAGATAATATTCTAAGTAGCATTAGACAACTTGTTGACGCCACTTATCTTTTTTAAGTTAGTATAGGTGGTATTGCATTTTTTATTTAGTTATCCTCCACTAAGCCCACTCAACAAACCAGAGAGGGCACGGAGATGTTTTTCACTTCTTCTTTCTTGCTAGAAGGAAGACTCAGAATCAAACTGTAAATATTTAGTCTCAGTCTGGCTCGTGGTCTGCTCAAGGCAAGGCCATAATGAGCTTATCAAAAATATTCTTCTAATTGTTTTAATTATCCTAAACAAAAACATAAACTACTTTACTTACACTCTTACTATACTATATATTTTAATTTTTTCCATACTGATGGTGGGAAGTCATAGAGAAGCAGGAGTGCTGGCAAGTAGGTGGAGCTGTGTGTATCCCTAACATTTAGATCTCTGTATCTGAAAGGCATTGCTGAAAGGTAGTGTTTACATATTTCTGTGTTAAAATTAAATTATCAGAGAGTTTAGCAGGGTGCATGTAGGAAAAAAAAGGACTTTTGTTCCTCTAGAAAAAGCTGATGCTTCATACCAATCTGTGTGATTGTCCTACAGGTTTTCTGTACACATGGCACATAGTATAATGACTAATAATATAATGATTGGATAAAAGGTAGGGCAAGTGTTTCTTCTGTGTTTCACCGGGTAAGTGTTCTGGTAATTAATAAATGACAGTGAAAAATAACTACCCCCAATTTTCATTTTTTTTATAACTGATTTTTCAGAAAGTTTGTCAAGTTTTGACTTTGCAGTATGTCATAAATCACATTTTAGCTCATGTTGTAAATAGAGATAAAATTGCCTTCCCAACATATTCCATGTTTTCCTGTGTAATTAACACCTCGTTCACAGCTGTGTCTGCTAGTCAAAGCCCTGCCTTCTTCCCCCTGACACTTCCTTGATACTTTGTTTAGACTGCTGAGATTTTAAGTGTCATCCTCAGGATACTTTAAATAAGTCCAAACAGGAAAAGGAAGGTGCTTCAAGAAGTCAACAGTATAGATCATTATAACTCAGAGGGACTATTTAAAAAGTATGAAGCAATTTATCTTTGTTTATTACTTACATCATTACCTCTCAATCTGTTTTTCATACTTGCTAAGGAAAGTTTACCGTTTTTCAAAAAAGTCAGGAAATGTTAGTTTCCATCTGTATTACTGAAGTAGAGATCAGTCCAAAAGTCTAGATCTAGCTAACGGCAGCCCCCTTTTCCTGTGCATGTGTGCCTTTCCCAGCACCGTGCCCTCTGTCAGGCCAGGCAAGCTACTCGGTTGCCCAGTGAACTGCATCAATGAACCGATCAAAGTCAAAAACAACTCTACTTTTTTGTGGGCCATCCTTAGCCGGGATGAGTTCCCAGTTCTGGCTAGTCACAGGGCTGCGTGGACAGTGTTGCCAACACAGCAGAGGACATGCTGGGGGAGGGTTGTAAGGGGCAGTATAGCCTTGAGCCCAATACTAGACCACCTAGTACCATATTTTTGTTCTGAAAATTTACTCTGAGCTGCCCCAGTTACAGTCCGGTATGTGCGAGTACTGGCGGGATTAAACAGCTCAGCACATAACATATGTCTCAGCTAGTTAAGACCCAGGAATTTGGCACTCCAAATATGCTGAGGTGGGTTTTTTTTTCACGTTGCCCTTAAAACACACTGACTGACTGAGGACCTTCATAAAACTGTGGTGGCAGTGTGCATGTCATGTGGCACAGCCCGGTGGATGAAACACATCCCCACAACCCTTGTTAGGTTCTTTCTTCAACTTGAAGGGCTCCGAATCCCTACCTCCTGCTTCTCAGGAGAGTCTCTGGCATCTAGGCAAGAGGTTACCCTGGTGAGCTGCACGGTGTGAGGAAGAGGGATTTTCCATCCTTACTGTCATCATCTTGTTTCCCCTCAGCATAGATCAAGATTAATGAGAGGTAGAGCATGAGAGTCGTTTCCTACAGATCAGGGCTCTCACCTGTAAAGAGCAAAGCTGAGATTTCAGTCACCGTTCCTTAGGTTACTTCTGCAGTTTGTGTGAGATCATCATTTAATAAAACACAGAAGCAGGCTTAGAATTAGGGATCATAGCTTACATAAATACCCCTATGTGTTAATTGTGAGCTGTCAGCAAGCATTTTCATTTTTTAACTTCTTAAGCCAAGGTTTCACCAGGACGTCCCCCTAATGCTTTTTGTTAATTTACGTTTGCCATATGCAAGGGAAAAGTTTAGTCTTTATGGATATGATACTTTTTTTTTTACCATCACACCTAGGTATTGGTTGTTCTCAGCTGTTGTTTCTAAAAAACGTGCATCAGATTTCAGCTTGGCAATGAAGTTGTAAATGACTGTAAATTACTTCCATTTTTATGTTGATCGTCCTAAAAAAAGCATGTGTGAAAACAGCAGTTGATCAGTTGAGTTCTGTAGTAAAAAATTGTAATAATTACATGTGCATGTTTTTTGGACTAGGAGTGGAAAGTCTTGTGTTAACTTAAGTAGACTTTTATAGACCTTAAATTTTAATGCAAATAATGTTGCATTTGCAATATATACACGGACAGTAGTAATTGCATGAGGAAGGTGAATTGGTTTTGCAAAGAAACTTCTGACTTTTCTGCTTGTTCTCACATCCTGGAGAAGAATGGTATGGGTGTTTGTTAATTGCGTTATATTGCACATATGTATTTACTGAGCAAGTCAGGGTGACTACTGCAGCACAGTTTAACATCCCAAGTTCTGGTATATTCAGATAAAATACAATTTCTTTACACCTCATCAAGATGCTCTGTTTATAGCCCTATCAATGTGCACTCACATTTGAGACATAGCTTTAAAACGTGAAAGTAAATGTTACAGTGATGCAAATATACTGTTTGTCATAATTATTAAAAACAATCCTAAAATTACTAGAATTGGATAGCATTGCCGTGACTAATATAGAGTATTCTTTTGGATAGTTTTTGAACTTTTTGATAATAAGCAAGGCAATAAATCTTTCTTTTAAAGAAAATTCTTATTCCAAATCAGTCACTAGCTGTAACATTTATAAACTTCTGTTGTTCTTTTTTTGTTTCCAGGGAAGACGAGGCAAACCAGGCCTCCCAGGAAAACCGGGGCCACCAGGACCTCCTGTGAGTAACTAACAAAGGGAATGGGAAATTTTCACTCTATCCTGGAACAGTGAACTTAGCATTTTTATAGCAGGTTATTACCTGATCATAATTATGGTTGAAAACAGTTGATGCATGTTTACTCTGCTGCATCAAACAGCTACTATTCCCAGTCTTTTGATACAGCAAAGATAAAAGGACTGGGTCCAAAAATACAAGAGACTACACAGGAGGGAAAGAACAAGATGCAAACTTCATCAAAGGAAGCAAAAATTGTCAGGCATTTCAAAGAAAGACTGGCCATGTATGCTAAATGTGAATACTGTGCATTCATTCACTTTGCAAAATGTATGATGCTCTGTAGAAGATGGGATAATTTCTGTCTCAGAGGGGTAATTTGAAAGATGAAGGACTGTGTGAAGCATGTGCCAACTGTCTGAATGGTGGGGAGGATTATACCCAGCACTGGAATGAGCACTCAGCTGTGGTTCAAATGAGTTTACTGAAGAATTAAAAAGATTAAGAAATACATGACTCTGTGGAAGGATTTGTAATATGAAGCACTAAAGGGTTTACCTCAGATCTAAGAGGTTTAGGATTTTTTTTTTTGAGAGAGACATGATTTCAAAATTTGAAGTCAGGCATGGATCTATTTTAGCCTAGAATGAATGCAGCCTTCCTTTGGTAGAGAAAAACTTGATCAAATTTGTACATTCCCTATATATTGTATTGTAAAAATGCTGTTGTGCACAAATACAAAACAGTTATTTGTTTGTAGATTAAGTAAACTGCTGCTTTACATTTTTAGGATCAAACAAGGATTTCATAATTCCTTTTTCTGTTTACCTGGAATAGGTGAACACCACTAGTTTATGTGTCAGAACGTTTGATTCATCTACTGCAACCTCACTGCAAGGGAAAACTAGTCTTATTTGTACGTAAAAGAATAATGGACTGCTGTGTGAAATACAATTAATAAAATGAAACAGACGTAGTTTATACTCATCTAAAAATGAAACTGCATAAATTTTATATTTTTCCCCCCTTCTCCTTGCAAAATGTGTTCAGAAAGAGGAGTTGATGATGGAGTTCATTTATCCTGCATAAAACTAAATAGTTAAAAATCCCTCCCTCTCCCTCTTCTCCCCTCCATATTGAAGCCTTGTTTATTTGAGTCTTTTGTACAGCTTGGGCTTCCTAATGCTGAAATGGTACTGCAGACTGCGGGAGTTAAAACAGAGGAAAGGAGTGATGCAGAATCTTTCTTAATACAAATGCCAAAAAATGACCTTTAAGAGGGAAAAAAAAAAAAACAACAACAAAAAAAAAAACCATAGCAGACGTCAATGTTAGACCTAATCTACTTAGCTTTTTGTGAACCAGTGAAAAGCTATTTCTCCATTACAGATTTCTGCCACCATAGATTTGCTGGCAGGTCAGGCTTGTCAAAGTGTATGATCCTTGACAGACATACCAGAAATCTAAATGGCACTTTTATTACTGAGACCTATTTCAGATTTTCTTACAGCAAATGGGAAGCTCAACTTTGTCAGCACGGCAGCATCCCTACGAAGAGCTCTGTATGGATACTCTAGCCAAGCACTACATATCAGAAAAGCATTCCTCAAGCAACCATAGCCTAAATATTGGTTAAAGGTATTTGTTTCTGGTATAACTATGTTGATGCAGTCCTTTCTTTGGATACAGCTACACCAGCATCTTGTGTTCCTCTTCCAAGATTGAGAATACAATGCATAGAAAAAGTATACTTTAAAGGCAGTAATGCTTGTTAATGCACATTGGCAGTATCCCCATATTTAAAGTGCTACCGCTTGTACATACTGAAAAGGCTTTAACATCATCCATTGTTCCTCCTCTCTTTTTCAAGGCTCAAACCATACTAAATTTTTGCTACATTGTTACCCCTTCTCTTCTAATAGTAAGTAGTGGCACATGGATATATTATTGGCCTTTACCTTGGCCTTCCTGAAGTGCAACAGAACTATCACACCTGCAGGGTGGTTGCTATCCAAGTTTGGCATATACAGGGTACAAAAGGCTTAGCAGATTGGCAGAACATGTAAAAATTAGACTCTCCAGAAAAAGTAAGTTTGGTGTTTGTTTGGTGTTTCAGAAGAATATGATACTTGTGTTTGAGAAAAAGCAGATTCAGTCATTAATTGTTAGGGTAGCTAGAGTACACACTGCGTGTTTGAAATTAATAAATTTACCTAATGTATTTATCAGTTTATGCCATGACTTTAAGTACTGAATTTAGATATTAGGAGAACAGCCAGGTGTTCAGTAATGACAAAAAAAACTGTGAGAAGGACAGTTCTGCCTCCTTGAGGAAGAAGTTGGTGAACAGGATACAATACTCAGGGGATTTGGTATAAAGGACAGTCCTAAAAAAAGTGTGTGCAGGGAGGGATTATGACACCACATTCTGAACAGTCAAACGGGCTTTAGATTGGACACTACTAAGTGGTGTGTTTTGATTAATTAAAGTAATAATTTTTTACCTGCTTGTCGCATGACAGCATTTAAGACTTTCTTGATATTCTTATCTGCCTCTAATCTGACTTTTCTAACCCTCTCTCAATACCTCATCTTTTTTTTTTCCTAACCTAATTTCTGGGGATTTTTTTCAGTCAAATTGATGTTTGTAGTGACTTTCTAGTCCCTTAACATCACCTGCATATCTTTGGTTAAAAACCTGTATCAGTGTCAGAAACGTAGATTGATTGGCAATTGGTGATGAAACTACTCAGTTAAAGTGGGACTCTCTATGCAACTTATAGAATAGAATCATAGAATCATTAAGGTTGGAAGAGACCTCTAAGATCATTGAGTCCAACCGTCAACCCAACATCACCATGCCCACTAAACCATGTCCCTAAGTGCCTCATCTACACGTCTTTTAAATACTTCCAGGGATGGTGACTCAACCACTTCCCTGGGCAGCCTCCTCCAATGTTTAACCACTCTTTCAGTAAAGACATTTTTCCTCATGTCCAATCTAAACCTCCCCTGCGCAACTTGAGGCTGTTTCCTCTCGTCCTATCACTAGTTACTTGGGAGAAGAGACCGACACCCACCTCGCTACAACCTC